AAAAAGTTAAACCCTAAATTATTTAAATAAATTAACTTTTATAAACTATTGACTGCGAATCACCTCTAGATGAAGAATGAAACCAGACAAGGGACATTCTGCTTTTTTGTCTTTAATGCTGCCATTATATTTTGCCATCACACGTCGGATCTCCTTCATCATGTCATTGAATGTGTAACGCCCCAAGGGAATGATTTACACACATTCAAATCACTGACAATTCTGAGCAAGAACGGATCAATGTTACCATCAGTGTTGTATTTCGCCTTCACTACCTTGCATAAAAACCAGAGGAGGGCCATTTTCTTCCTGTCCACAGAGGTATCCTTCATTTCATTTAATTTTTCTTCCACATCCGCAATGTTGATATTATCCGCCCTACCAAAGTGCTTCTCAACAAACTTCGTGTTCCCCAAATTGTTATAGTCAGCCGGGTAATCACGACAGTCAAGTCCACTCAAAAGCGCATGCTCTCCCAGAGAATACTTTATTGGAACTCCGTTAACAACAAACCAGCATTCACTAAGCCTTTCAGTATGAGCAGTGTAAAGGAGAAGCATCCACAGTCCTTGATTCATGTGGTTGTGCTCCTTGAACATGTGAAAAAAGTGCTTAAATTGAGGATGCGCTCTGAACCATGCTTTCTCCTCATCAAGCTTATCAATCTTATCCACAACAGCTATAACTGAGCACCTTGTCAATATCCTCAACCCTTGCTGTACTCGGTTGGACCAAAGTAAAGCTTCTCAGGCACCATCGGTTGACTACCATCATTGGCATTCTGAAATATAAACAAGAAACACAATCATATCAGACTTAGTTGTCCCAATTGTCCGCGTGTTATCTAATTCTGTTAAACTAAGTTGTACCAATTGTCCTAGTTGTCCAACATTTGACCAAAACAAACATTCATCGAACACAGTTATCCCAGTTGTCCTAGTTGTCCAACGACCAAACATAATTTCATCAAACACAGTAATCCTAGTTGTCCTAGTTGTCCGAGTTGCCCAACATTTGACCAAAACAAACATTCATCAAATAAAGTTATCTCAGTTATCCTAGTTGTCCAACGACCAAACATATTTCATCAATCACAGTAATCCTAGTTGTCCCAGTTGTCCAAATGCCAAACATAATTTCATCAAACACAGTAATCCTAGTTGTCCCAGTTGTCCAAATGCCAAATATAATTTCGTGCAAATAGTTATCCTAGTTGTCCTAGTTGTCCAACGACCAAACATAATTTCGTTCAAAGTATACTTACTTCTAAATCTTCATCTGCCTCTTCGGCATCCTCTTCTTCTGCTGCATTTTCTTCCTCTTCATTTCCTTCCTCTCCTTCTCCCTCGTCGTCTTTCTCGGGTGTCCCCCCTCCCTCTTCGTCTGCTTCTTTCTCGGATTCCTCTTCTCCACTATATTTCTTGGATAGCTCATCCTCTACTTCCTCTTCTCCTGTTTCCTTCTCGGATTCCTTTTCCTCGGCTTCTTTCTCTGATTTCTCTTCCTCGCCTTCTCTTTCTGAAGCCTCATCCTCAGATACATCTCCGTCACCTTTTTTCTGGGATTCTACCACACCCTCTTCCTCAGCTACTGTATCCGCTAAACACTATTTCTCAGGTTCTTCACGAGATTCCAACCGCTCCTCTGCTTGATCTGTCGCACCCTCGTCTGTGGGTGTTGGTGCGGTTTCAAGGGCTTCTTTGGTGGTTTCGGTACCGACTGGATGTGCTTCCATCAATGATTCTTCTTCTCTCCAAGTTTTTTCATGGGTTGTTTCTTCATCATTCGCCGGAGGGTTTGGGGTTATTCCTGGGTCTTTATCTTCCATATGTGCTTCTTCGTTGTGCTTGGGTACTGAATCGTTCGAATCATATACCACGCCCTTTATTCAAGTTTTAGCCATGGAGTTAGGGTTTGTCTTGATGTATGTAGAAGGATAAATTAATGAATAAATAGTACGGGAAGTTGAAGAAGGGGAAGTTGAAGAAGGAGAAATTACAAAATCTAGTGTCTTTTTAAGGGGGAAGTTGCAGAATTTTCGGAAGAGTGAGGGGAGTGGAGATAGCCGTTCGGGGAAGATGAAGAGAGAAAGAGGAGAAATCGAGATTTGATTTTCCCTTTCAAGTTTATCAATTGGTTCTGGTTTTGAGAATCAAATCCACTCAGTTCGGTTTCGTTTACCCAATTTTTGGTTTAACACTTAAAATTTTCTATTTTCGATTTCAAATTCATTAAATTTTATTATTTTTTTTGGAAAGAAATTGAATTTTTTATGGGTTACCGGGTGGGCTTAAAACGGGTGGGTTTTACCCTGGTATTTTCGTGATTATGGAGACATGTAAGAAGAAAGGTATAATTTTCAGGGTTTAAGTTAATAAAAATAATTCAAAAAGAAATTAATTATTATACCCATGGCTTTTCAGCCTACTTTTTCGCGTCCCATGGCTTTTCAGCCGCGCACTCATTCTCTCACTTCTATGAGTTATGTATAGTACCCTGATCCTAATTTTACTTTTTAACCAATACTTAGTTAATTTTTTATCCAGATTTTACTTACCATTTTCGAATTAAACAGAATACTTGAATTAGTACAATGATCACATATAAACTTTTACATTGAAAACTAGTTAGTTTATAGATGTTAGCTACCCACATCTTACCATATGTTCCTTCACAGCATTAATTCGTGTGTGTTGATCAGATATATATTTCTTTTTATCTGTATCCATAAAAGAAAATATAAGCAACAGAATTACTTAGTGAGAACGGTCATCCCATTTCTCGAGCTAATAATCAGAACCATCAACAAACATCGATCACATAGTCCATATAATGCTTATTACAACAGAAAACTACCCGCGTATAACCATCCATGTTTACCCGGCCGATCCTCCAGCAACCAAATTAAAACATGTCTCGGTGAGCAACATAACCCTGAGCGCAATGTCTAATCTTGATCGCTGAATAAAGTGAACCAATCACCGCAGTAGCCAGCAGAATATAAATCATGATAAGCCAAACACGCGCAAATAAGCACAAACAAGTGCACAAGCAAGCAATCAGAACTAAGTATCTATGCATGAAAATGACCAAGACTATTAACCACACACACTCACCTTAGCTTTTTTGATAGATTCTGACACCTCTTGTCATGTTCCCAACACCCGAACAGATCGCCTAGACAGTTTCTTTGATCTCTTGGGTAGATCCTAACTACTCTCGGCCTCAGTCGAATTTCTCTCGACTAGATGGAAATTCTCTCAGATAACTTTTTTCTCAGACACAGACAATTTATCTCGGATATTTTTCTTCCAACTTTATCTCTCAATCTTTATCTAAGTTCTTCCAAAATAAGAAAATGAGCCACAAACCTTTCTTAAATAAGTCTTCATTGTTTTCTCCGAAGAGCCAGAAACCGTTTTTCCTTACACGCTCGGCAAAACCGCTCATGCCCGTCCTTTTTCCCCAAGAATAACAGTTTCCGCATAAACACTCACTCGACTAAAATCAGATAACTGTTCCGGTATTTTTACGCGTTTACCAGGTAACCGATTTCGCTTACATTTTCTCTACGCATTATCAACTTCTCCCGATAACCGTTTACCAACATTGTTAGGTTCCAACCAAACTTGTCTAAATCCTGACCAAAGTCCGAAAGACACGACTAGTCCGGATAATTTCCCAGACTTAGCGAAAATCACGGAGTAGCTCATTTAGCTTGGCAAAAGTTGAACTTAGCTCGGAAATCACCCAAAGTGTCATTTTTCCCGGCTAAATCTATTTTCTGGCTTTTCTAAGTGAGTTTTGTTGATTTTTCTCATTTTTTCTTTATACAACTCATAACTTCTTTAACCAACTTTATAGCTTTGTAAGGTTTTTCCGAACAAGAGTGTTACATTATGATTTTTTTTTGATAAAAAAGCCTCTCCATTTCGTTTATCAAGATAAAAAAAATAGTCGAAAAGGGTTCAGAACCAGTAATTCGAATATTCAAAAATAATACATTTTGTATAAAAAATGAGATGGAAAATAAGGGTAGCATATTAAAAAATAACATTTCATATATAAAAAAAAGAGACAGGAAATTAGGATAGCTAAAAAGTTAAACCTCTATAAATTAATAATATCAAGACTGTAATATTCTATTAACTTATCGAGTTATTAATTTATCGATATAAAAATCAGCCCGAAAAACTAATTTGGGATTTAAGAAATGTATTAATTTATCGAGGTATTAATTTATCGAGTATTAATTTATAGAGGTTATATCTAAAAACTTTCACTAATTTGGATAAAGATCAATAACAAAATATGAAAATAGATATCTAATATAAGTTCAGAAAAAAATAAGGAATTTGAGAAACTTTAAGATGATTTTTAGATAAGCTTTCATTAAGTATCTTAAAAACCTCCCAAAAAGGATAATTCTAGTAACTCTCTCTTTTTCATGTCCTTTTGACTAAAATAAATTATCCTAAACAGGTACTTATTGAGTTTTAAACAATAATGTAAATGAGATGGACAATCCAATGTTTAAGTATGGGATTTTAAGAAGAAAAAGAAGATGACATCATTTTTTACTCAACCGTGATTTACAACCGTTTTCTAATCATGTTTATTCGTATTGTTTATCGACTCAACTTTGTGTCTAATTTAGTTCAATCAACAAAATATATTATAGGATCCATTGATCTCATATGGAGCTATGCAGCCATGCTATTTCCAAATGGATAATTTGGATAACCTGTCCATACCACTGCCCTTCCCATGCCGTTAAAATAAAATAAATTCTTGTGGTTAATGTGTTGTAATTGATTTTATGTATTTATGCTCCTCACCACTTCATACATTATTATACAAACGTTTCGCTGAATTATAGCTTTCAAGAGATTTTAGTTTAAGCTGTCTCACCGAAAAAGGTAATCAAACGATAAACGTTTTGAGTATTTATGCTTGCTTAGTTATAATTATAAATTCCATTAAGCATAACTGTGCTTTGAGCCTACAAAATCCAGTCTAATCTGAAACCTGGTCAAAACTTACATAACGATAAGGTACTTCTTCTAGATCACTCCAACCTTCTGACTCTTGGTTCAACTTCTTCTTAATGCAAATATCCATCTCCAACGATTCACCACGCAAGAAACTGTGAGGGATCAACATGAAATTCTCTTGAGGTATTTGATGGCTCACTTCACAAATCCTCTTTACTTCTGGTGATTCGTAAGTCATAATGTGTCCATCGCCACTAGTGTATGAGATATGATATGAGAACTCTCCTACTTGTGGAGCAGATGGTGCAATGCATCTTACAGTTACATACACACCATACGACTCCCTAAAACACTGCACTGCAAACAATCGCCTCCTTGTATAGTCCGCTTTAATTAATACCTTATCGCTGATATTCATCTCGGCACTAAAGGAAATGCCACAACTGAACGTATTAAGTAGGGTTTGCAAGGAATTCATATGGATAAATTTGTAGTGATCGTAGAGATCCTTGTATGATCCAGTGTAGTTGCAGTCTAGCAAAGGGCAGGAGCAAAGAGAGAAAGCACATTCTTTTTCATGAGTTGATACTTTCCCATAAGAGACTTTCTTGGTGCAACCTAACTTAGCGTTTGGGCATAGGATCAAAGTCGATTCAAGAACACTCTCCATTGCTCTGCAGCGAATGTGGCCGATAGGCGAAGCACAAGAAGGGCATTTATCACTCAGTTTGGCACAGCAAGAAGAGCAAGCTAAATGCCCATTATCACACTAAAATGCAAAACCAATTAGCTCGTGATAATATTTTCAAAAACTACAACTGAACATGAACACATCTTACAAATATTCACTCGAATCCTCAAAACCATCAAAAACAAAATCTACGGATACACTTAAAACCTAGAAAATTGGGACACTTCCAACTTTTTTTCTTCCTTTCTACTCCAAATTATCCTATCCAACTGAAATACAAAATTAAATGAGTTGTAATTCTTCATATGCTGTTTTCTAAATCATGATAATATTTTCAAGAACTACAATTGCAAACAAGAATATATTTTACAAATCATCACTAGAATCCTCAAAATCATCAAAAGAAAAACAAAGTATACACTTAAAACCTAGGAAATGGGGACAATTCCAAAAAAAAAAAAAAAATCTTCCTTTTAAATCCAAATTATCCTCTTCTTAATGTAGAGTTTGACCCACAAATTCTATACTCTGCATTTTCAAGAACTACAACTGTAATTATATCTTCCAAAACACAAACTTGGGATATTTTAAAAATCCAGTAAATGGGCACACTTCCAATTTCTTCTTTTCCCCATTTTCTTTATTCATGGATAATATTATCAAGAACAACACGTATTCACCGAAACTTCACAAGAATCCTCAAAATCATCAAAAGAAAAGCGAAGTATACACTTTAAACCAAGAAAATGGGGACAATTCCAAAAAAAAAATCTTCCTTTCTACTCCAAACAGAGAGGATGCGAAGCTACAATTCAAGTAAGCGAAGCTACATTTCAGGTAAGAAACAAAACCTGGAAGATAGGAATCGTCAAGGCTTCGAAGCAGACGGGACAGTCAAGAATATTCAGATCAAACAGCGTCGCCGAGAGACGCTTGTCCTCTCTACACGATTTCTTCGCTCCATCACCGGGAGATATAGAAGAACAACGTTGTCTCTTCTGCGAGAGAATGCTGCTCGATCTATTATCTTCCCCGGAAGCTTCCGAAATCGGAGCTTCAACCATGTCGGAGGCTTAATCGGAGAAATGGCTAAACCCTAATCCCTTTTCTCTGTTTCCGATGATTTTTGTTTTCTTTAACTGAACTACTGAAGAGTTAAATCAGTTTACAATTACAGATATTACTCGGAATATCACACATACTTCTATTTTTGGTCTCAGCTCCGTCTCAAATAGAATCAAACGAGCTAAACTTTTTTAGTTAGGTTCGGATATAAAAAAAAATGATAATAGTTACTACTTAAATTATTAATCCTATTACTAGATTTTGCAGTAGCGTGGATATTTGGTTGATAAAAATTATATGCAATCAATTATATTTATTAATATATAAATTTTATATGTTAGTATTTTAATAATATATTAATAATATTATGGTGTTAATCTAATAATTTTTATGTAAATAGTGAGGTTTTAACGGATTTTTTTTTCTTAAATCTATATACAATATGTCATATTTCAAAAACATATTATTTGGTCAAAAACTTATAAGTTAATATAACCAAACCAACTAATTTTTTTTTATATAAATTAATCAAATGTTACTTTTTAAACACAGTATTGACATGATGATAACATGTTATACATTCACTTTTTAAAATCAAGAAGATTATTATTTTTATCATTTTCACTTTTATTACAATTATATATATGTTCTTTAAAAACAATAAAAAACAATAAAAATTAATATTTCATCTTTTTTCTTCATGTTCATTTTTATTCTTGTTATATCTGTTTTTATCATATTTATCTATTTAAATAATTTATGTATGATTATATTCAGTTTCATCATATTCATTCTCAGTTTTTTCTAATTATAATTAAGTAGGCAAAACCGATACAATTTAATACATACAAATTTATAACAATGAAATAACAAATTGAGCAACTCAAAATTAAGATCTTCTACATTAATCTATTGCAATTCCAAGTCGAATATACAAAATGTAGTTTTTTGATCATTTTCCCATAATATATTACATAAGATTATTTGAAAATATGTTTTGCATATGTGAAAAAAGTTTAGATGAATATAAATCATACTTATTAGTTATTTAAAATTTTACGTGAAAATTCTTAAAATCAAATATCTTAAACTTGTATAAGTAGCATATATTTTTTGATAGATAATAAATTAAATTTGTAACTTAAACAGTGATAATGTATATTTTAATATCATGTTAAATTTTTTGTTATTTCTAGAGGTTTAATTTATTTTTTAGTTTATTTTCTTAACCATGATATTAGAATTAGAAAACTTTTAAAAATTAAAAATGTTAATATTTACGAATAAAATTAAAATTTTAAATGCTGATGTGGATACTTTGAAAATAATATAGCTTTAACTGTTATTAATAATAGAATAATTTTAATTAACAATTTTCTTATATTTTTTGTATTAACAATATAATTTTATTATTTAGATTTGTTTTTAATTTTAGTTATTGATGTGGACTAATAAAATTGATCTTTTAAATCTTTTGAAAATATCTTTAGAGGCATATAGCTTCAATTTTGTTTTCTATAAATATATATATTTTTTGTTAACAATATAATTTTAAAATTTGAAAATTGTCTTAATTTTAAATATTGATGTGGACCAATAAATTTAAAATTTAAATCATATGTGGACATTCTTAGAGACATATAGCTTTAACTTTTATTAATAATAGATTTAGAAATCAAAGCTGGAAGATCCCACACGAAGCCCGTTGCTGCAAGTGATTTTGATATCTCCTCCTTATTTTGAGGCTTACCGAATGTATTCGGATGGTGTTTGGTCAGCTAATTGTTATCTTTGTGGTTAAGTTTAGGTTGTTAAAATCCTATCAGATGTCATGTTATTTCAAAAATCTAGCTCGGATACTCAGTCTCTTTCCTCTTAATGACGGAACCTCTTTCTCTATTTTCAGTGCTTCTTTTTCAAAAGTGTCGAGTATCAATCACTTGACATGTTTCTCGGATTGCTTGAAATTTATCATTCTTCTCAGATTCTTTGGCCAAGCTTTGGAGATTTTACGGTTTTTTTTTCAATATTAAACGGTTTGTAGTGACTTTGTTTATATCTCCTTTTCTTATATTTTTGTAATTTAGCTAATAGTAAAACATATAGTTTAGTCAAGTTAATTCCTTTATGTTGTAATGATTCATTTTTTTAGTGAAACCCAACTATATATATATTTTTTTGTTTATTTGACATAGTTGCACACACAGAAAAACAAAATTTAAAAATTATCATAGTTATATGAAAATGCTAATGTAAGAGTCTCTAAATATGTGTGTATACATTTAATTTAAATTTAAAATTTCATATTTTAGTTTTTTATAATTAATATGAATTTTATATATAATTTATTTACTTTTAATAATTTTTAAAAACAATAATAGAATTTAGAAATTTTTTAATTTTCAGTGTTGAGCTGGACCAATAAAAAATTTATACATAATTTTTTTACTCAGCAATAATATTAGAATTTGTAAATTTTCTTAATTTACTTATTCAGCATTAATATTAGAATTTGTAAATTTTCCTTAATCTTGAATGTTGATGTGGACCAATAAAATTGCCCTTTTAAATTCTATGTTGACATCTTAAAATGTATTTAGCTTCAATTTTTATTAGTATAAGATTTTTGTACACGTGGAAGCCCGTAAAATCCAACAGATTCTCACTCTGGGCGGTGGCGGATTCCCCTCTGGCGTTTGAACGACTCATTTCTTCTCGAACTTAAATCACTTTTTCATTTCAGGCGTCATCTGATTAATGTTTCTTATTTCATTGTCAGATTCTTTGAAAGTTGGCCACTTTGGGTGAAATAAGGATCAGATTCTTGGCTCAGAACAAGTGCTGCTAGTTAACTGCCAAACCAAAAAAAAAAGTTAATCAAAATTAAAATGTTCCGGAGTTTTGGTTAATAAGCTGTAGTTAATTATATATCTTTACGTCGCTCCTCAACGATTCAGACATTGTACAAACGTTTCGTTGGATTATAGCTTAATTTTGGGCAGAACTAACAAAAGTTTTACCGAAAAGAAAAAGTCAAACGACAAACGTTTTGAGTATTTATGTTTGCTCCGGTCTAAACTGAAACCTTGGTAAGTTAAAGCCGTAAAGCAACTTCTGATCTTACTAAGTCTGGTCAAAAACTTACATATAGCAACAAGATCCGAGCCTAAAACGCCGTTCTTTTTGGTCTTGCGAGGAGAGGCATAGCTCCTCATGGGTTTGGAAGTTCATGCTAAAGCTAAGACCCTTAGCGAAGAAATTTCTCCGATGTTCGGTCAACAATGGTGAGACTGCGTCTTATTGGTTTGATCATTGGTGCTCGCTAGGTCTGCTGATTGATGTTGCAGGCTCGGATGGACCCAGGAAACTCGGTATCCCGAGGGAGAGTACAGTTTTTGATGGATGTAACTCTACAGGATGGATCCTTCCTAGCCCTCGCGTCAGACTCCCAGCTCTCCGTGAAATAAGAGGTATGCTCACTTCTACTCCCGCGCCGACTCAACACGGCGGCATGGATGTGTTTACCTGGGAAGCCAGCTCCTCAGGCAACTCTGGTTTCTCTTCGTCAAAAACCTAAGAACCTGGGACTGCATTCGACCTTCCGCAACTCGAGTTCCCTGGAAGAAGGTGGTTTGGTTCAAGGGGCACCTGCCTCGTCACGACAGGCTCCCGATCTGTTCCGTCTCTACCAATGGGGAATCATCCACTCTGACCTCTGCTGTATTTGTAGCCTCCATGCGGAAACTAGAGACCATCTTTTTCTGCAATGTGAGTTTAGCAAACAAGTCTGGAATAAGGTCATGCATCGCCTAGGACAGGAGAGAACGCAACACCAGGCTGCACGAGGGCATTTCTATGACACCCAACTCTATCTTTGACGGATCGCACGATCAGGGATATCTTATTGGCTCGCATCAGGAGAGGTCTCCCGAGTCTCCTCTCCACCTGGTTTACTTATAAGATTTTTAATCTTTAGATAGTTCTAATTATATCTTTCGGGCTTTTTTATTTATTTTTTTGGTCCGTAACATGTAACCTGCTTCGCCGAGCTTTGTAAAGAACGTTCCGTTTTTGGTATAATATTTACATTCTATAAAAAAAAAAAGATCTGATCTTAGTTCGCCAGGTCAAAATTTACACGGTTTAGGGTTTAGCTTCTTAGGTTAAAGCTTACATATAGCAACAAGATCTGATCTTAGTCCGCCAGGTCAAAAACTTACATATAGCAACTAGATCTGATCCTAGCTTGTTAGGTTAAAACTTACAGACGACAAAAAAGGGCCCTCTTCTATACCGCAAGCTTCTTACTCTTAGTTAGTCTTCTTCTTGATGCAAATATTAATCTCCAACGAGTCACCACTTAACCAACTGAGTGGGATCAACAACATGGAATTTTCTTGAGGGGTTTGAAAACTCACTTCACGAATCCTCTTCACCACTGGTGATTTGTAAAACATAGTGTGTTCATCCACGCTCTTGTATGAGATCTGATATGAGAACTCTCCTACTTCTGGAGCAGATGGTGCAATGCATCTTACAGTTACATACACACCATACGGCTCCCTAAAACACTGCACTACAAACAATAGACTTCTTGTATCGTTCACTATAATAAATATCTTATCGCTGATATTCATCTTGGCACCAAATGAACTTTGACGATAATTACTAATCATGTAAGCAAGGCCTGTTGACCATTTTTTTCTGTGGGTAAATTTGTAGTGATCGTAGAGATCCTTGTACGGTCCAGTGTAATTGCAGTCTAGCACTGGGCAGGAGCAAAGAGAGAAAGCACATTCTTTTTCATGAGTTGATACTTTCCCATAAGACACATTCTTGGCGCAACCTAACTTGGCGTTTGCGCAAGGGATCAAAATCGATTCAAGAACACTCTCCATTGCTCTGCAGCGGATGTGGCCGATAGGAGAAGCACAAGAAGGGCATTTATCACTTAGTTTGGCACAGCAAGAAGAGCAAGCCAAATGCCCATTATCACACTGAAATACAAAACCAATCGAGTTGTGAGTCTTCATAAGCTCTTTCTTACAAAACTTCACTGGAATCTTCAAAATCATCAAAACAACAACTAATAATACACTTAAAACCTAGAACATGGGGACAATTTCAACCTTTTTCTTCCTTTCTACACCATTGTCTTCTTCCTAATGCAGAGATTGGCCTATAAATTCTACTTATACTCTACATTTTTAAGAACTACAACGAGTTTCGTTAACAGATCTTTCAAAACAAAAGCTTAGGATACTCTTAAAATCAAGTAAATGGGCACACTTCCATTTTCTTTCTCTGTTTACTCAAAATTATGAAAACAGAAGCCAAGGATACACTTAAAACCTAGAAAATGGGGACAATTCCAAAAAAAATTATTCCTTTCAACTCCAAACCATCCTCTTCCTAATGTAGAGTTAGAGAAGCTACAATTGAATTCAGTTAAGATTGCAAAACCTGGAAGATAGGAATCGTAAATGCTTCGAAGCAGATGGGACAGTCGAGAATACTCAGATCTAGCAGCGTCGTCGAGAGTCGCTTATCCTCTGTACCCACTCTCTTCGCTCCGTCGCCGGGAGATATCGAAGAACAACATGCTCTCTTCTGCGAGAGTATGCTGCTCGATCCATTTCCTTCTCCGGAAGCTTCCGCAATTGCCGCTTCAACCATGTCGGAGGCTTAATCGGAAAAACGGCTAAACCCTAATCCCTTTTCTCTAAGGAGTTAAACAGCTATGTTTTACAATTACAGATTATTGTATTGATCAAGAAAAGGCCTGGCTTATATCCGGTTAAAGGGCTTGAATAATCTAGGCTTGAATAATGTGGAGAAGGCCCAAAGAGAATCACGCGTGGAACTTAAGGAAGAAGAGAGCCTGCGTCCGTACAATGGTCCCCCCTCAGCGTGTTCACACCTGGTCTTGTGACCGTTGGAGCTGTCGCTGTCTCTTGGATTCAGAGACAAGATTCACGTGTTTCTTTGTGTGTCTAACCACTTTTCTTTGTAATGTAGTGTAGGCTAAACCTAGTTTCTGCATTGTCTCTCTATATATGTATTGATTCCGAGAATGAATACACACACTCTTTTGGGAACTTTTCCCTTAGTCTCTTTTCTCTTAATCGTTACATCTCTTATCTCTCTCTAACTCTCTTCTTAATCTCTTTACTAATCCGCATTTATTCTAACATGGTATCAGAGCTGGTTTCGATTTCCTGAGAATCGATTCTCAAGTCTCAAACTCTTGTTTCTTAATCTACAAGCTTCATTCTCGCAAATCTCACCTCTCTTTCATATTCTCTCTCGTTTCTTTTTCTGTTCAATTCTCTCTCTTGTTCTTGAGCGTTTTCCTGAAATTCCAAGATAGAATCTGTTGCTCAAGCTTCCGAGAACTCCAAGGCTTTGGTGATTCCGGTCATCCTCAAAGGAGGCACTACAAGAAAGATTGGGTTTTATGTCGGCAGATATTGACGTAAAATCGACGTAAAAGAGCATTTACGTCGAATTAACGACGAAAAAAAAATCGTCGTAATACGATCGTCGTAAAACCAAAATCGTCGTAAAATTACAAACCCGGGAAAATCGTTGTAATATCGTCGGAAACTATTCGTCGTAAATGCGACGTAAAGTTTCCAACGAAAGTACAACGAAAGAAGTCCATCATAAGAACGACGTAAAATCGATGTAAAATTACATCGATTTAACAACGATTAGGAGACGAACAATTTCAATTAAGGGAAACTAATTTTTCAATTGTCGATGTTAATTCGTCGTAAAGTTTCGACGTAAATCCGACGTAAACATATTCGACGTAAATTCGTCGTTAATAATTCGACGTTAGATCGACGTAAATTTACGACGAATTTACGTCGATTTATAAATTCATATTCGACGTAAATTCGTCGTTAATAATTCGACGTTAGATCGACGTAAATTTACGACGAATTTACGTCGATTTATAAATTAATTATTTAATTCGATTTTAATTTAATTAATGAATTTTTAAAATAATTAAAAAATTAAAAATAGAAAACAAACAATTTAAATTGAAATTTAAATTCGAAAATAATTTATAAATAAAAGAAAAAATTTAATACAAATTGTTTTTTACAAAAAAACCTAATCTACAATGTGATTTCGTAATCGTCGAGGTTGAGATCGACGTCACGAGGAGGCTCTCCGTCTTGGCCGCCCGTCGCTGCTGGACCGTCGTTTCCCGTCTGCACTACCGGAGCCGAAGACTGACCCTGCGTCTGCTGGTCCGATGGTCCAGTACCGGAAGTACCACCGGTCTCAAAAACCATTCGTGCTCGCTGTTGCCTCGCTCGGATTGCGGTGGCCAACTGCGGAACCGCTTCCGCAACGATGTCGAAGAGATCGTGTATCTCGGTGAGCTCCTGCTTCTGGGCCACTTGCTCATGCCTGAGAGTGGTGATCTCAACATTGGCCGTAGCAAGCTCCTGGCGAAGATGACTCGGATCCTCCTGCGTGCGAAATCCGGAAGCCGAGGCGGCAGAACAGTCTCTAATAGAGCCCATCCCTAAGGTTCGGCCCTTCTTCTTCGGAGCAACCTACAAATGGAAAATGAAAACGTTAATTATTTATTAAGTAATAAATATAATAAATTTAAAAAAAATTGAAATAGATCATACCTCTTCGAAAATCTGGTCTTGCTCAGCGACGGTCAACGGTACTTGGATAGTACCGTCAGGTGTGGCCTGGGTCTCCCGCTCGGCGATCCGCTGCATAGCGGCATTGTAGATCTCCTCGGACCGAGCGTCGACAAAGCTCCCGTCACTCTTCCGGTGAGTGGTCTCGAAGAGCTTCGTCATCGGAGGTAGTTCTCCTCCGTTCTCCTCGGCCTACCAATTAATAAACATTAGTCAAAAATATTTAATAAATTATAGCAATAATTAAAATTAAAATAATAATGAAATAATTTATATTTAATTACTTACCATCATGAGACGTCTTCCCGCAAAAGATATTTGGCCAGAAGTGTGCGGGGTCACTAACTTCTGACCACTCACCGGATCGACCCGGTTTCGGACGGCCGAACACTTAGCCGCAGTGGTTTGGGCATGCGGGTCCAGCCAATACGCCTTCAACCCGTTCCAACAGGAAGTGGACATGGAGCTCGGCTTTGCGTCGTCTCCATCGGTCTCCCACTTCCGCTTCCAATCGGAAACGGTGTTGACTAGGCGTTTCTGCGCCTTCAGCCGGAAAGCTTCGCGGACCGTCTCGTTGATCCCGATGTCCCAGTTCCACCGTTGCTGCAAAAGAAAACAAAAAATTAGATAAACAATATAAAAGTTAGATTAATTAAATTTAAAATAATTTAAAATGATATAAATAAGATTTTAAAAACATTACCGCGAAGCACTTGTACCAGGTGTCGAACGTCTCTTGCGACACCTTGCTCCAATTGTAATGTGGCTCCACGAAATGACTCTTAATTGTGTCGGAAATGCTCCGACCGACACAATTATCCAAATCAAACCTATGAAAACAAAAAAAAACTTATTACATTAATATTTAAGTAAATTAAAGCATTAATTTTAAAAAATATAAAAAACAAAAAAGTTTACTTACCAATAAGAGCCTGGTTCCGCTTTTCCGGGAACCAGACGTCGTAAAGCCCCCCGTCCCGGTAGGGCTAGTAAATCCTCAACCGTAAACTGGGCATACGGATGTGGAGGGGCGGGTACCGGTTCGGCAGCCGGCGGTGGAGGTGGTGGTGGAGGCGGTGGTGGAGACTGCTCCGCGGTATTCGGAACCTGGGAGGCTCCGGAAGATGAAGGGACATCGGTCCCGGTGTTTCCCAAGGCAGACGCCCGGGAAGAGTGTCCGTCCGCCATGAAATTGATGTAATGCGTCCTTCGTCGAGTCATCGTCTGCAAAACCGATAAAATTTTATTTTTCAAATTAATTACAATTAATTTTTAATTATGATCCTAAATCTAACAAATTCCGAGCCTAAACTAATTCCCGACCTAAACCGTTTGAATTTCTAAACTATTTAATAATATTATAATTTTAAGTAATTAAAAAAAAATAATTACCTTTTTTTGCGTCAAAAGGAGGAGGAATGCAAGGGAGGAGGAAGCAGAGAGAGAGGAAGGAGAGATGAGCGACGAAATGAGGAATGGGTGCGGTCCTATATATAGAATTTATTTTCCTCGTAAATTCGACGGAAATATTACGACGAATTTACGACGGATTCGTCGTAAATTCGTCGTAATGGTCCCACCGTACAAGAAAGCAAATAAGACAAACACACGTGGCTGTATCTTGGCTTTGCGACGATTTTACGATGATCCGTGTTATTCGTCGTAAAATCGTCGTAATGTTACGACGAATCGTATAAATCATAAAAATTAAGACGGCTGTGTATCCACAAATCGTCGTAAATTTGTCGTAATATTACGACGAATTTACGATAAATTATACCAAAACTGATGAAATTCAAAAATTGAAACATCCATAAGCACATACAAGCATGTCTATTCATGATAAATGTGGTCTGTATAACTTTCTAGCATGTTTACATAACTTAATGAAGAATTTAGTAAGATCTAAGATAAATCCTTACATCTTGTGTAAATGTATATAACACCTTAAGATTACTTGATAAACACATATATGTCAAATTTTGAATTTTTTTTTTTGTTTAGAAAGTTGTTTTACCTTATAAGATGGTAAGCCATATCATTCTCTTCATCAAAATCCCCCCTGAACCCCAGAAAAGATTGATTATAAGATTTAGGGGTTACATTTCGTCGTAATCTCGATGGTATATTACGACGAATTTACGACGATCACACCCATTCGTCGTAAATTCGTCGTAATAAAAACCACATATCTACAAGTTCCTGAACCTTATACTACTGACCCTTATATAATACATCAGTTTACTTAGGAAAATGAACCCAAAAACTATTCTGTAAGTTAGGAAAGCTAAACCCTATAAGGTTTAGGGTTTGCATTTTACGACGAAGTTACGACGATTTCTAAATAATCATCGTAAATTCGTCGTAAAAGTCAACATATGTCCAAGTCAACACTTTAACAAATTTTATTTTCATTAATTGGCTTTAATTTTTCAAAAATTTAAATTTGACAAATGTTACATTGAAACATGCAATTAAATGTCAACATATTTAATTAGTCTTCATCAACATTTTCCTCGGTGTCCTCATCATCATTGTCATCATCACTGCTTGTTTGAAATTCGTCAGCAGCTTCTTCAGTTTTGTCCCCATGTAGATCTTCAACTTGTCGATTACGTGGATCAATTAAAAGAACATTTTCTTCAACATCCGGTTCTGTAATGTCGACACAATCATCTTGTTGCATTGGCGGGAGATCTACACCATCAATTATACCCCTTGGAGCAACTTTGACAACCGCCAGCCATGAAATTCCCGTATTCCGTACTCGAGGATATGGAACAAAGGTGACTTGTTCTGCTTGAGATGCAAGTATAAAAGGCTCGAACTTATTGTATCGCCGAGATGCGTTTACATCTACCACTCCGAATTTGTTAATTCGCACTCCACGACCTATCGTAGGATCAAACTAATCACATTTGAATAGAACAGTTTTCATTCTGACTAATCCGGGGTATTCCACTTCAATTATCTCTTTGATGATCCCATAAAAGTCTACTTCACCTCGTACACAAACTCCATAGTTTGTAGTTGCCCGTTGAGTGCCATGACTATAAGTATGAAAAACATAGCCACGTGTGAAATACA